GGACTCCAGAGTTTAGGGTTTAGGGCTTCGGGGGTTTAGGGTTTAGGGTTTAGGGCTTCGGGGGTTTAGGGTTTAGGGTTTAGGGTTTAGGGTTTGGAGTTGAGGGTGTTTAGGGTTTAGGGGGTTTAGGTTTGGGTTTAGGGTTTATGGCCTGAGGTTTAGGGTTGAATTCGGGTCTGGTGTTTATGGCTCAGGGTTTTAGGGTGCTGTAGGATCGACTGTAGGGCTTAGTGCTTTTAGGGTGCTGTAGGGTCTCAACTAAGATGGTTCGCTTCTCAGGGTTGTGGGTTATGGGGTTTAGCGCCTTAAGTTCAGGGCCGAATCATGTTAGGGTTCAGGGCGGACGTGAGCACGGCCACCTTACCCAAAGGAAGCATAAACTTGCCAAAGCCCAGAAGCCTTCTGTAAAGCCCTGGATGTAAAGCCCTCGAAACCCCGGAAAGCCGAAGAGGCCTCCCCAAGCACCCTCTAAACTTAGAAGCCCTAAACCGTAAACACTTAACACTTCAAAAAACCCAGAAGACGCTAACCCTAAACCCTTAAACAGCAACAACAAGCAACCCCAAGACACAAGCCCTGGCAAGCCCCCGAACCTCAGCAGCCCTTGAGCCCCAGCAGCCGCAACCCTGAACACTAAGGCCCCTTTCACAAAGCCTCTACAAACCCTCTAAACCCTCTAAGCCCTCTAACTCTAAACTCTCCAAACCCTCTAAACTCTCCAAATCCTCTAACCTCTCTAAACCCTCTAAACCCTCTAAACCCTCAACCCTGTAATTAAACCTAACCACGAGCTCTGTCCTCAAGTGAGCTCAAGGCGGCTTCGATCGACGGCCCGATGAAGGCAACGCACATGGTAGGGTTTTACCGAGCTTCTGAGCTTAGGGTTCGAGGTTTATGGTTTAGGGTTTACGGTTTAGGGTCCAGGGTTTAGGGGGTTTAGGGTTTTAGGGGTTTAGGGGGTTTAGATGGTTTGGAGGGTTTTGGAGGGTTTTGTAGGGTTTAGAGGGTTTCGAGGGTTTTAGGGTTTAGGCGGGGAGGGGAGGGGGGGTTAGGGTTGTGGGGTTTCACAGTTTTAGAGGGTTTTAGGGTTTAGAGGGTGTAGAGGGTGTAGAGGGTTTAGAGGGTGTAGAGGGTGTAGAGGGTGTGGAGGGTGTCGAGGGTGTAGAGGGTGTAGAGGGTTTTAGGGTTTAGAGGGTTTTAGGGTTTAGAGGCTTTTAGGGTTTGAGGGTTTACGGGTTTTAGAGGGTTTGGAGGGTTTTAGGGCTTTAGGGTCTTGGGATTGAGGGCTTTAGGGTTGTGCGGTTTGGGGGATTTCGGGTTTTCGGGTTTTGGGGTTTCAGGGTTTTAAGGTTTGGTCAAGGTAACCCGAAACCCTGAGCACCCCGAAGGGTTTATCGGGATTGGGTGGGAGATAACCGGTTTTGAGCCTAGGGCTTTTGCAGGTTTAGGAGCCTGAGACGTATATGAAACGAACCCCTGAAAGAAGAGAATCAGCTACAACCCAGGTCCTAGGCCTTAGAAGCCCAATCACTGGGCCCTAAGCCCCAGACCCAAAACGCTACTAAACCCCAAACACTAAACCCCAAACCCCAAACCGTAAACCCTAAACCCCAAACCCTAAACCCTAAACCCTGAGCCCTAAACCCTAAACCCTATAAACCCTGAACCCTGAACCCTTAACCCTAACCCTAAACCCTGAACCCTAAACCCCAAACCTAAACCCTTGAAAGCCTTGAAACCCTTGAAACCCTACACGAAAGAAGGTCGGTCGCGCTTCAGCGACGCGCCTCCAGACCGAGGCCACGTTACGTTGCAGGTTGCTTCTAAAACCCTACGTTATAAACCCGAAACCCTAAACCCTAAACCCCAAAACCTAGCTTGGAAAAAAACATCGAGTTCACCTGTTTTGTGCTAGCTGGTTCTTAGTCTAAGGGCCTTATTCCCTCATTCCCTACTAAGTTTAGGGTTTCAGCGTTTTTAGGGTTCACGGTTTTTTTACTGTTTTTAATCGGATCTTGGGGTTTGGTGTTTGGCGTATAGTCTTGGTCCATTGAGGGTTTTAGCCCTTTAGGGTTTCCAGTTTGCAGGGTTTGGGGTGTCGGGTTAACCCTAAACCCTAAACCCTAAACCCTAAACCCTAAACCCGACGATCTTCTTCGGGAATCGAAGTCGGGAGTGTAGCGGGAAGGGCGCCTGGCCCAAGAATCCTGAGGCTTGCCTACAGGTGCCCCACCCAAACTCGAAGCCCCAAAAGCGGGGTTTAGGGGTTTAGGGGTTTAGGGGTTTAGGGGTTTAGGGGTTTAGGGGTTTAGGGGTTTAGGGGTTTAGGGGTTTAGGGGTTTAGGGGTTTAGGGGTTTAGGGGTTTAGGGGTTTAGGGGTTTAGGGGTTTAGGGGTTTAGGGGTTTAGGGGTTTAGGGTTTAGGGTCTAGCGTTTAGGGTTTAGGGTTTAGGGTTTAGGGTTTAGGGTTGAAAAGAAAACAACACTGTTAGGGGCTAACCGCTCCGATCTAAGGGTTCATAGGGCTTAGGGCTTATAGGGTTTAAGGTTTAGGGCTTAAGGTTTAGGGATGAGGGTTTATGGGTTTAGGGTTTAGGGTTTAGGGTTTAAGTAATTAGGGTTTAGGGTTTAGGGTCTGGGGTTGAGGGTTTACGGGTTGAGGGTTTGGGGCTCAAAGGGTCCCAATCAGGGGCCTCTCAACTCTGAACCCTGAGCCCGCACGGTTTAGGGGTTAGGGTTTAGGGTTTAGGGTTTAGGGCTCTAAGTCCTAAACCCTAAATCCTACCCTAGGCTCCAATGGCGCAGCACCCAGACACGCTCGCGATGAGGTGGGCGCCTGCGGAGCTTGTCGTTTTGCTGGTTAGTAGGCAAGTCTGGGGAGTTATACCTGCGGGTAGGGCTTTGGGTTCAGGTTTAGGGTTTAGGGTTCAGGGTTTAGGGTTTAGGGTTTAGGGTTTAGGGCCAGAATGCCTGGTGTCTCCCTAAACCCGAACCCCACAACCCTAAACCCTGAACCGTAAACCCTACACCTTAAACCCTATGGTTTCCTTTTGGGGCTCTAAGGCGTCACTTGCGGGTCCTGGTACTCTGCGGGCTCGAGTGCGTTCTGTGTATGCCTGATGTCTCATGAGGCCTCTCCCAGCAGTCACCAGCCCGAAGCCCCCATACCCCAAGCATGCCAAAAGTTACATCCTGAGCCCCAAACCCTAAACCCTAGCCCTAAACCCTAAACCCTAAACCCTAAACGTGCAAAAAGGGCCAAGTTTTTTTTTTCGAAACTCTGCGCATGGCCAGGCTCCACGCTCAGAATATCGAGAAGGCCGGGCCTGGCTTTTCATGGAAGGGCTTGTGCCCTGGCGCCCGAGAATGCGATACTCCAGTGGGGTTTAGGGTTTAGGGTTTAGGGTTTAGGGTTTAGGGTGTAGGGTTTAGGGTTTAGGGTTTAGGGATACTCTACTATGAGGCAAATGTGAACCCTCCACGCCCTTCATCTGGGATCTTCTAGGGTTGGTAAATGTCTTGTAGTATGAGGTTATAAGGCAAACAAGGCCCTGGACCACAAGACTTAGAGTTTAGGGCTTAGGGTGCATGGTAGGGTTTAGGGTTTAGGGTGTAGGGTGTAGGGTTTAGGGTTTAGGGTTTAGGGTTGAGGGTTGAGGGTTTAGGGTGCATGGTAGGATTAGTCTATTGACTCTCGTCTCATTGTAACCTCAGGCTGGTGACAGCGGCTTCATTAGCGCTTTCGCTGCTCTCCGCTGTCCATTCCCAGATCTTCCAAAACCCCTTAATTAAGGAATAGACCTTAATTCATAATAAGGACTCTTACAGAGCACAGTTTCCTTGATGAAGGAATATACCTCGATTCAAAAGGAGGAATCTTAGCATTTTAGGGCATATTCCTTAAATTACGGGGTTTCGGAAGATCTGGGTTTAAGAGTCGGTTCCAGCTTTAATGTCAGATCCCACCGGCAAGCCTTGCCAGCACCCCCCCCCCCCCAACAGCACCCAGCATCATGACCCGTCTGCCCAAGAAGGCCAAGATGGTGGGTAAATTGGAGGGCCCAGGTCAGGTACGCCCTGAACCCTATAAACCCTAAACCCTAAACCCTAAACCCTAAACCCTAAACCCTAAACCCTAAACCCTAAACCCTAAACCCTAAACCCTAAACCCTAAACCCTAAACCCTAAACCCTAAACCCTAAACCCTAAACCGAGCCGACCTTGTCGCAGGAGGATGGGGTGGAGGCGGTGGTGGTAGAGGTGCGAGCAGAAATGAGACTGCTTTGTGCGCCGCATGAACCCGCTGGTGGGGTTTAGGTTTTAGGGTTTAGGGTTCAGGGTTTAGTGAGGTTTAGTCTTACGGTTTGTCACAAACGATCCATAGCTAAAGTGGTTTCTTCCAGTTTAGAAACGCGAAAATTTGGAAACGTGCGCGTCCATCCTTGAGCCCCTCTATACTGGTCTTCACAAAAGATACATAGCTTAAGTGGTTTCTTCCAGTTAAGAAACGCAAAACTTTAGAAACGTGCGCGGCCACCCTTTGATACCTAGGGTTTTGGGTCTTCACAAACGGTTCATGAAGCGGCTTCTTCCGATTTAGAAACCAGATGTCTGTAGAAACGCGCGCGGCCAACCATCAGATTTAGGGTTTTGCTTGGGAACGACCCATAATCCCCTAGTAGAAGTCATCCGACCATGAACCTTAGTAGCCTCTTTTGGCACCTAAAGTGGGCCCTTTACCTTTCAAAGTGCAACAGCAACAGCATAGCAACAGCTTTTCTCATGGAGTGAGGCTCGCGCTGTGGCTCAGGGGCAGTCCCCAGGATCTCAGCCACCGAAATGCCCCTGAGATCGGCCTGCATCTTGGTAATTTAGTTGTACCCTTTTTCCTTGTCTTGTTTTTTGGGTTCTGAGTTCCCTTGTAAAGTAACCCAAAAAAAGGGTGCCCTGATTATAATATGGTTTCTGAGCTAACTCAGGCATCATGTGGCCTACCATGGAATGCCCGTGCCGGGAGCTCTCCGGGACGCCCTGCGCCATGGCGCTCAGGCAGCCAAGGCGTCGAACTGGCAGCTGTGTCTCTCTCTGTGGCAGCAGGCCCCAACGGCTACCGGGTCTTGGAGTACTAGATACTTTAATTGTTTTTTTTGGTTCTGGGTTTCTATTATAGCTACTTCTGCCTAAAAAGTATATGCCTTTTTTTCCAGGGTCTACTCCAAAGCTAAGGTTAAGGCCGCGACGACGGCCCTCAGCGCGTGCGGTCGCGCGAGGCACTGGAGGCGCAGCTTGGCGATCTACCAGCGCCTGGCCGCGACGCAGCGGCGGCAGCTTCATATTGATCCTGTGCCGCTGAATGCGCTGTGCGCGGCCTTGGCGCATGCCGTTCAGTGGGCCCGGGCTCTGGATGCCCTGGGCAGCTCCAGTGATCCATGGCGCCACAATGCGGTGGTGGCCGCATGTGGGAAAGCCTCGCAGTGGAGGCTAGCACTGGACTTGTTCGCGGACATGAGGATGCGCCGGCTGGCAGACGCGACCAGCCTGAATTCTGCCGTCAGCGCTTGCCAAAAGGCCACCCAGTGGCAGGCGGGGGTGTCACAAAGTTGCTTCTTGTTCAGTTGGACTGGGTCCTGAAAGTCCGATTGAATCCTGAACTCACTGCAGGGGGTTAGGGTTCAATAGGGTTTGAGGTTTAGGGTCTGGGTTCTCCAGCACATGCTCTTTTGAAAGCAAAACCGCCGAAGCACCCCCAAACCCGAACCCCTCTACTAAAGTCTAAACTCTCCACCCTTTAAACCTGCAAAACCTCTTATGAAGCCCTTGAAGCAAACAAACGATCAAACATCAACACCCTAAACCCTAAACCCTAAACCCTAAACCCTAAACCCTAAACCCTAAACCCTAAACCCTAAACCCTAAACCCTAAACCCTAAACCCTAAACCCTAAACCTTAAACCTTAAACCCTAAACCCTAAACCCTAAACCCTAAACCCTAAACCACCACCAGGGAGCCCTCGCGCTCTGCGTCCAGTCCCCCAACCTCCTCAGCGCATCGGCAGCTGTGGCCGCCTGCGCTGATGCGGCCGCCTGGCGGGCCGTCTCTGGGATCCCCCATTGTACCCTTGTTTTCTAGGGTTTAGGGTTTAGGGTTTAGGGTTTAGGGTTTAGGGTTTAGGGTTTAGGGCTACTAGGACCCGGAGTAGGCCCTTATGTACTTCTTTTAGGGTTGGGGTTCCCTTATAATCCCCTTAAAACCAAAAAGGGTGCCCGTTTTATTCCTAGGTTACTCCTGGGTCTAGTTTTTGTTTTTGAAAGAATGATGGCCCTTCTCCTCTTCCAGATAGGTAGCAGTACTTGGGGTCATGGGTTTAGGGTTCGGGTGATGTCCTCTCTCTTATTTCAAAGACGCAACCTCAAAATGCAGAGCATTTTTTGTAGGTTGCCTGGACAGTCTGGAAGGTGCTTTGTAACCACGACCCACAGAACAAAAAGGTCTTGTGCTCTCAAGGAATGTGGGTACTTCAACCCAGAAGCCTAAACTCTCAACCTGAAATTGCAAAGAAAGGCTTAACCCTAAACCCGACACCCTAACCCCCCAGTTAAAAAAATGAAAAAAAAAAAAAAAAACAAACAAAACAACAAAGTAAAATAAACCCTAGGTTACTTGAGCCAAGGCCCTGGCCCTCTTGGCCCAGATGCACCCTGGCGGATTCCGGTCTAGGGTTTAGGGCTTGTGGCCTGTGACAGTGAGTTTTGGGGTCTTACGGTTACAGGGCTGAGCGCTTGGGCTTTAAGGTTTCTAGGGTTTAGGGCTTAGGGTTTAGGGCCTAGGGTTTCGGAGATGATGGCCGGGGAAAGGTCTGCTGTGTTGGCTTCGGAACTGCTGAATTCAGCACATGCTTCCCCTAAGCCTAAGCCCTTTACTCCCTAAACCCTAAACCCTAAACCCTCGACCTTAGCCCTATACTCCCTAAACCAGGCACAACAACGACTCCTGGCCGCAGCCCAACGCCGTCAGCGTCAGTGCAGCACTGGCGGCCCTTGGCCGAAGCACGCGCTGGGCCAGAGCTTTGCAGCTCATGTGTGTCCCTCCGATGCGGTTTAGGGTTTAAGGGTGTAAGGGTTTAAGGGTTTAAGGGTTTAAGGGTTTAAGAGTTTAAGGGTTTAAGGGTTTAAGGTTTTAAGGGTTTAAGGGTTTAAGGGTTTAAGGGTTTTAGGGTTTTAGGGTTTAGGGGTTGGGGTTTAGGCTTTTAGGGTTTAGGGTTTAGGGTTCAGCTCGTGTGTGCCCCTCCGGTGCGATCTAGGGTTTGGGGCTTAGGGTAGTTTAGGGTTAGGGCTGCTTAAGGTGTTTTGGGGGCTTTAGGGTTTAAGGTATTTTGGGGATTTAGGGTGCCTAAGGCAATTTTGGCGCTTAAGGTATTTTAGGGTTTAGGGTGTGGGGTTTGGGCTTGGGGGGGTTAGGGGCTCCCTAAACCCTAAACCCTAAACCCTATACCCTAAACCCTAAACCCTAAACCCTCAACCCTAAACCCTCAGGGACGGGTCGCAGTTGAGAAGCATGCCTGCAGCCTTAAACTCACAATCTTCGAAGGCCCTGATCGACCCTAAACCCCTAAAACCCCCTGAACCCCAACCCTAAACCCCTAAAACCCCCTGAACCCTAAACCGCTAAACCCCTAAACCCCTAAAACCCTAAAACCCCCTGAACCCTAAACCGCTAAACCCCTAAACCCCTGAACCCCTAAACCCCTAAACCCCCAAACCCCTAAACCCCTAAACCCCTAAACCCCTAAACCCCTAAACCCCTAAACCCCTAAACCCCTAAACCCCTAACCCCTAAACCCCTAAACCCCTAAACCCCTAAACCCCTAAACCCCTACCCCTAAACCCCTAAACCCCTAAACCCCTAAACCCCTAAACCCCTAAACCCCTAAACCCCAAACCGAAAACCCCAAACCCTTAAAATCCCCGAAGAAGTCCGAGGCCCTGTATCAACCCCAATCCTGCAGACTCAAAGGCTTTGGCAGATGTTTGTCCCCCTATAAGCCCCAAATTCAAAGCAGGAAAGCCCGGACCCCTAAACCCGAAACCCCAAACCCCAAACCCTAAACCCTAAACCCTAAACCCCTAACCCCTAACCCCTAAACCCTAAACCCTAAACCCTAAACCCTAAACTTAACCCCAAACCCTAAACCCTTTACAAGGCTTTGGAAACCGTCTCCCCACCTTCAATGTCGTGCTTCGGCGCAGCTGCCGCCGCCTGCGAACAGGGTGCGGCGCCATTGGCTCAAAGGAGAGTTGTTCGAGGGATTAGGGGAGCCTTTTAAACCCAAACCCTAAACCCCAAACCCCAAACCCTAAACCCTGAACCCTAAACCCCAAACCCTAAACCCTAAACCCTAAACCCTAAACCCTAAACCTGGGTTTCGGGTTTGGGCTCTAGTTTGAGGGTCTTGAGGGCGTAGGACTTCTCAGGCCTCTTCCCGGCTCGCCCCCTTCCCTTTCCTGAAGCCCAAAGCCCTAAACCCTGAACCATATACACATACACATGCAAAAACAGTTGTACAAACACAAACATGCATGCATACATACATACATACATGCATGCATGCATACATACATACATACATATATGCATGCATACATGCATACATGCATACATACATACATGTACACATATACACAGAAAACACATATACCTACATACATGCATACATACATACATACATACCTACTTACATACTAAACCTTAAACCCTAAACCCCAAACCCTAAAACCTAAACCCTAAACCCTAAACCCTGAGCCCTAAGCCCTAAGCCCTAACATGTGTATATAGCTCTTGCCAATTAGGCCTGGCAACCTGCGCTGTGGCTGCTCACCCAGCTGTCGCCGCTTCTGCCGGACGTGCCAGGGGTGGCACTCAGAGAGCGGTTGAATTGCTGTGCAGGTTGAGGGCTTACAGCGGCTTACACCGAACCCTAGCCCTAAACCCTAAACCCTAAACCCTAAACCCTAAACCCTAAACCCTAAACCCTAGCCCCAAAACCCTAATACCCTAATACCCTACATATGGGTTTGATCGACAACTACATGGAGCCCTTAATCTGAAAGCCCAAATGCGCAGATCTTCCGAACACCCCTCCCCCCCCCCCCCCCCCCATCTCTCTGAAACCCCGGAGTTTTCAGGGTTTGGGGGGGGGGGGGGGGGCTTTTGCCTTGTGTCGAGATGCCGGGGTTGTAGGGGCAGTTGATTTGGTATGCAGGTTTAGGGCTTAGAGCGGCTTACACCAACCCCTAGCCCAAAACCCTAATACCCTAACTATGGGTTGACCTATAACTACATGGAGCCCGCGCGGGATCCCTGAGACGTGCCACAACCCTAGACCCTAAACCCTAAACCCTAAACCCTAAACCCTAAACCCTAAACCCGAAACCCTAAACCCTAAACCCTAAACCCTTGGGCTGAGGCCTCCTTGCTGAACGCCATCCTCGGAGCTTGCGGAAGCTCGACTCCTGGGGGCCTTAGGTGGGGAGGTCTAGGGTTTAGGGTTTAGGGTTTAGGGTTTAGGGTTTAGGGTTCAGGCGGTTTAGGGTTTAGGGTTCAGAGTTTAGGGTTTAGAGTCCGGTCATGCTGAACGAAGCGCCGCTGGTCTCTCAGGAATATTGGTTGTCATGCTCTTGGGGTCTTCTGGTGCTTGTTGTGGTCGGTTTTAGTGGGATGGTTCAGGGCTCTGGCCCAAGCAGGCAAAATCATGTGACAAAAGCCCTGAACCCTAAACCCTAAACCCTACGAAGCTCAAGTCCGATGGAACAGGGCTTAGGGCTTGGGATGTTGAAGCCCCCCTTACACTCTGCCTAAAGGCTCCAGTTGTAGCACTTGCTGAGGCGGTATAGGGTTCAGGGTTCAGGGTTCAGGGTTCAGGGTTTAGGGTTTAGGGTTTAGGGTTTAGGGTTCAGGGTTCAGGGTTCAGGGTTTAGGAGCCTAACTTCCTCATGAGAAGCTCACTATCCCAGGCAAGGGAAATCAGTGGCCTCTATGCCTCCGCCTGCTGCAGCACAGTGCCCTGGCTTAGGGTTTAGGGTTTAGGGTTTAGGGTTTAGGGTTTAGGGTTTAGGGTTTAGGGTTTAGGGTTTAGGGTCGAAGTAGGCCCTTGTTCCCTTTTTTTTGGGGGGGGGGTTGTAGGTCGGTTAGGTTCCCATATCTGCCCCTTGAAAACCAAAAGGGGCACCCTGTTTATTTCTCCAGGTGACTCTCGGGCCTAGTTTAGACCTTGAGACTTTCTTGGCATTAAGGAGAACCATCGGCTAGCTTTTGGGTGCGTTTCTTGAGTCTCTAGAGACTTCATGGGACTAGGCAGCTGTTGTCGCTGAAGAATTTGGAGCTCGAGGGCTACTGTTGTTGAGGGCTTTTGTGCTTTTAGCCCTAAGCCCTGAGCCCTAAGCCCAAAACCCTAAACCCCAAACCCTAAACCCTAGACCCGAAACCCTAAACCCTAAACCCTAGACCCTAAACCCTAAGCCCCCTTTAGGGCTTGAGGTCTAGGATTTGAAAGGCTTGGTCTGGTTTCAGGAGTTCGGAACTTGGGCGTGCAAGTGTGGAGCGGTGGCGGAGTTATATTAGGATTAGGGTTTAAGGTTTAGGGTTTCAGGTTTAGGGTTTAAGGTTTAGGGTTTAAGGTTTAGGGTTTAGGGTTTAGCGGTTAAGGTTGAAGAGCTGAGGGTTACTGAAAAGCCGATAGGGTTCAGGATTTAGGGCTTATGGCGGATTACTGATAAGCCTTTGGGGTTTAGGATGTAGGATTTAGGGACGTCTTGAAGTCCGAGGCTTCCTGCCAGTTTTTTGGGGTTTACAGTGTTTGCAAGATAAGGCTGCCCAGTTGCTACCTCCTTGCGGGATCCAATGAACCCCCTTGAAAAGGGTACGCTACTATAGTTCCCCTAAACCCTAAACCCTAAACCCCTAAACCCCTAAACCCCTAAACCCTAAACCCTAAACCCCTATTTTCAGGTGCGATGAATCCATTAAGCCTTCAGAGGGTTCCCTTATAAGCCCCCTAAACCCTAAACCCTAAACCTTAAACCTTAACCCCGTGTTATGCCTAGGCCACTCTTGGGTCTAGCCAAAGTTCAGGGGCGTTTTGTGAGGTGCAGACGTCGTCGGCCGAGGCGCTGCGCTGGAGGCGCTGATGCTGGCTGTTTTTGTTGAAATCAGGGGTAGGTTTGAACATGTTTTTTTGTCATTATGAACCCTCAATCCCTAGATAATCCTTATAAAGCCATAAATTGAGCCCACACCTGCCCCAGAAGATAGTGGTTCAGGTGTTTACAGTCGGGTTTAGGCTTCAGGCTGTGGACTTTCTGATTTGGGCTTTCTGTTTTGAATTACCCAGAAGCCCTCGTCGCCTAAAGCAACCCTGACCAAGACCGCAGTGCATCTGCAAAACGGTCAAGAACTCAAGTTTCGAGAGATAAGGACCCCTGACCAAGACCTTAGTGTACCTTTCCAAAACGATGAAGAGCCCAAGCTTCGAGAGCGACAGTGAAGCAAGGCACTAGGGTTTAGGGTTTAGGGTTTAGGGTTTAGGGCACTCGGTGCAGTTTAGCATATTGCTCGGTGGAAAGGTTTCGATTCGGGGCAGAAGAGGGTGGACGAGGTCAACATTGAACATGCGTAGTTCCTCCAGTAGGGTGTGCTGCTACTGGCTTGGTGCCATGCCAGCGCAACATGTGAAGGCTCTTGAGCGAGCTCATGAAGACACTTCCCCAGAGAAAAACTGATGTAACAAGCAAGTCTCTCGTTGGAGACATACCAGTTGTTACACTGATAACAGATACTACACTTGATCATGTCCAAAAGGCCGAGAAGGTATGCTCTCCTCTGATTTAGGTTTTCTGATTCAGGGTTCGTGGCCTTCTGAGGACCCTATTGTCGCTGGAAACTCCGCTGTGCGCCAATTGCTGTCCGCGGCCCTTCGCCCCGGGCAATTTCAGCCCTAGACCCTGTATCACTAAACCCTAAACCCAAAACTGAAACACGGAAACCTTCCCCCAAAGTAACTCAGCCGCTAAAAACCCAAACAGGCACTGAAAGAATCCGCTCTGCGGCCGGTGTTGATACAAGGTGGCTGCCGAAACATCGGGGTACCGTCGTTGCGGACTCCTACGATCTTAATATTCTTGGGGCCTCGTAGTAGGTTCAGGGAAGTGCTCACAAGGTGAGGACGCCCACTCCGGGGGTGAGACCAAGTGAACCCTAAAGGAGTTTCTGCCTCAAAAACTTTAAGTGGAAGTATAGTGGTACAGGGTATACGGGGTGTATGACTTCAAGTTTGGGATTCATTTGGTCCCCAAGTCAAGGAAGGTCCGAGGCCGCCTAGGCCCTACAGACCCCCGAAACGCCTCATGGAGGCTGCAGCGGCGGCCACCAAGTGGGTGGCGGCGTTGGCCCTGCCTCTCGACCCGTTGGGTCTGCTTTCGGGAACCAGATGAACCGTAATAAAACTCGGGGCCACCTACTACCCGTACTACTCTAGAAATCCTATTGAGGTATTTGAGCAATAAACCCAGGCTCATATCGGTTGAGGGATTGGAATTCCCGGGTTGAGGCTCCGCATGGTTTCAGAGGGGTTATCCGGGCTTAGGTTCAGGCTTAGAGGGTTATTGCGTTGTAGGGCTCATATGTCATATCGGTTGAGGGAGTGGCATTCCAGGGTAGAGGGTTCCGAATGGTTTTTTTTTTTAGATGGGGTTATGGAGTGCGGGGGGCCACTGCCGCTTGTGGCGAGGCTTGATCAGGGTCCTGTGGACCTGGTGGGGGCGCTGGCGGTAGTGTCTCGGCTGCAGGGCGACTGTGGATTCACGGTTAACTTTGAGACCGGATTTTGGAAGAGGAAATCATTCGTAACCGCTAGAAAGAACTGGGTGATGAGAACGGTTAGACCAAAAGCGAAGGATGCGATGAAGGGAACACGGTTATAACGAGTCAGGAGTTCGCCATTGGGTGAACTGGGTGACGAATCCAGAGCGGTTACACCAAGAGCCTGCAATTTGAGGTTGTAGCGTGTTCATCGGCATCTCTGAGTTGAAGCACAATGAAAATATGAATATTTAATGGAGCAAGTATAGGGTGCAGTATATATACCTTTAAACCCTAGACCCTCAACCCCAATTTTGGAGTTCATTTGGTTCCCTAAACCCTAAACCCTCAACCCTCAACCCTAAACCCTAAACCCTAAACCCTACTGTGCGTCAGGTGCGAGCCTCGGAGGTGGCGCAAGAGGCGGCCCCTGCGGCCGCTGTGGCGCTGTGCCGGAGCGCTTCATTGAGCAACTCTAAACCCTTTAAATCGTATAAACACCGCTTTAGAGTTAGAGTTTATAGGTTTATAGGGTTTAGGGTTTAGGGTTTAGGGTTTAGGGTTTAGGGTTTAGGGTTCAGGGTTTAGGGTTTAGGGTTTAGGGATGAGCATTCGCAGAGATCGTTGAAAGGAATACTTGCCTCCCCCCCCCCCCCCCACACCCTTGTCCTTTCACACCCGAGTGAAATAGGGGAACAAGCGATTGAGAACCCCAGTGTTCAGGGGTCGGAGTTTAGGGTCTTCAGGGGGCTTACAGGGTTTATGCGCCTAGTAAGTTTCTATAGGGCTTTTCAGCCTCCTGATCATGGAGTTTGGGGCAAATTTCTTCTGCGATTGCGAGGAGGCTGAGCATCCCCTCCCGAGCTGTGTTGAAGCTCCTGCGCGAGCTGGAGACCTTCGAGGCTACCGGAACGAGGCGCTGTGTTGCCCGTGCAGAGGTCCTCCAAAGAAACAAAATGGACACCCAAACCCTGCACCCTAAACCCTAAACAGCAAACCCTGAACCCTAGCCCTACACGCCCCTGTAAAAATCCGGAGAATCCCCCTTTTGTAGGGTCCAGGTTCCCTTAGTAAAAGGGTGCCCTTTTTTGTTCCTGGGTTACTCTTGGGTCTAGAAACACCCTGCAGAAACACCCACACAAAACTCGCAAAAGTCCCTCTAAGCTCCAATCAAGCCCTCCGCCCCCTAGACAATATGACGCTCATCAAACAACAGGCTTAAACCCTAAACTCCAAGCCCCAAACCCTCAGCCCCAAATCCCAAGCCCGAAACCCTAAACCCCAAACCCTAAACCTTGAACCTAAACCCTAAACCCTAAACCCTAAACCCTACAAACCCCAACCCCCTAAAACTGCCAAGCAGGCCCCGAGCCACCGGGTCCGAGGCGCTGAGCCGCTTGGAGAGCGCCGAGGCGCGGACGACTTTGGAGAATCTGGGCTTCCGGAGAGTTTAGGGTTTGGGGGGGTTTAGGGGTTTAGGGAATTTTGGGAATTTAGGGGTTTTTTAGGGTTTAGGGTTTAGGGTTTAGGGTTTGGGGTTTAGGGGTTTAGGGAATTCGGGAATTTAGGGAATTTTTAGGGTTTAGGGTTTAGGGTTTAGGGTTAAGGTTTTAGGGTTTAGGGTTTAGGGTTTAGGGTCAAGTTGTGCGGCCTTCAGGGCTTGAAGGCCGCAGGGCTGGTCGTTTTTTTTGTTTTTTGGAGGGGGGGGGGGGGTTGAAGTTTTGGGGCTTTAGGCTTTAGGCTTTAGGGTTTAGGGTTTAGGGCTTGTTGTTTTTAGCCTTTGCTTACCTTAGTTTGCTCGGTTGGTTGTGTGGCCGCGAAGATTTTTCAGGAACCAGAGTCGGCTCTTCTTCCTTGTTTTTGCGAGGAGGGGGGGTGGTAAGTTCCATAATAATCGCCTTAAACCAAAAAGTGCATTCTTCTTATTTCGAGGTTCCTCTTGGGTCACCCTAAACCCAAAAAGCCTTTGTTGTTCCTGGGTTACTCTTGAGTCTAGTTTTCTAGCATGAGCTCACTCCGCAGGCGCCAACGGAACGGCTGAGTTGCGGGTTTTTGGGTTTAGGGTTTCGGGTTTAGGGTTTAGGGTTTAGGGTTTAGGGTTTAGGGTTTAGGGTTTAGGGTTCAGGGTTCAGGGTTTAGGGTTTAGGGTTTTTGGGATTTTGGGGCAGTTTCGGATCTGCTCTTCGAGGTCACGGTGCCCGAAACCCTGTGAGCCTAAGCCCTGAACAAGGAGCCCACACTTCCCCGTAGCCCTAAACCCTAAACCCTAAACCCTAAACCCTAAACCCTAAACCCTAAACCCTAAACCCTAAACCCTAAACCCTAAACCCTAAACCCTAAACCCTAAACCCTAAACCCTAAACCTAAACCCGAAACCCTTCTGGGTTCCTGCTGTCTGCAAGGCATCCCAAGCCCTGGCTTGCAAAAGCCCGCCCTGAACCATTCGAGTTCCCTAAGCAGCTAAACAGGAGTTTCGGGTTTAGGGTTTAGGGTTTAGGGCTACACTCTGAAGCTTCTTAAACCCTCAATTTTAGACCCTAAACCTGAAACCCTAAACTTAGCCCCGAAAAAGCCTCTTTGCATCTCAGGAATTTGGGGGCAGAGATGGCGTTGGGCTCGCGACGCCTCTCCTGCGAAGAGCTCCACGCTGCCATCCTGCCGCCTTTCTTCGAAGGTTCGGGGGTTGATTCGGAACCCCAGGGTTTAGGGTTTAGGGTTTAGGGTTTAGGGTTTAGGGTTTAGGGTTGATTTAGGCTTAGCCCCTGACTAATTCAGTTAACTTTGTTTATTCTGGAAAAGGTAGGGACACGGTATTCCCTGTCGCAATCATATTGGTACTCCCCGATTGAAACCTACTCTTCAAACTGGGCAGGTGAGAATATTTGCGTTTAGGGCTTCCAAAGCTACTATTCGCTCAAGCACCACCCAAAGAAGAGATGAGACTCTCTATGTTGCTCTTACAAAAGCGAATGTGCCTCAATAAACAAGTTTTTTTTTTTTGGGGGGGGGGGAGGTTCTTATGCAAATAGTAGAGAGTGAAGGGTTTCGGTTGCACAGGCATCCTTAAATCAACCTTAAACGCTGAAGCCCTCTGGAAGGCCGCATATGTAGGGCCGTAGGGCCGTAGAGTTTTCGGGATAGCCTGCCTAAACCCTAAACCCTAAACCCTAAACCCTAAACCTAAGCCCTAAACCCTAAACCCTAAACCCTAAACCCTAAACCCTAGACCCTAAACCCTAAACCCTACAAAAACCCTCCACCTGCAGGACGCGAGCTCCCTTGCAGCCTCCTGCCGGCGGAGCCGCATCGCCCGGTCTTGTTCGCGCATCTGCGGGCCACGCTTTCGGGGGATCTCGGGGAGGTGCAGCTGGATGCATCTTGAAGCCCCCTCTGCAGGCTAGCCCTGGGACCTGCAGTCGATGAAGCGTCTTTTCCCTCCAACAGACCGGAAGCAGCTGACCAAAAGGTGGGGTGCCGCGGTTTAGGGTTTAGGGTTTAGGGTTTTTCTTCAGTTGCCCTTGGCCACTTTCGGGCTAAGCAAAGCAGCCCTTACCTAAAGCCAAACCTGAACCCTAGAAGCTGTGCATTTAGGTTTTGTAGCGTTCAGGTAGAGCATGGTGGCGAGGGCTGGCAACGGACGCAGAGCTGGAGCGGTACATCCAGAAGGCGCAGCGAATGGAACTTGTAGCCTTCATTCGCGTCTTCGAACGTTGTCATGGTGGATGATGCTGAAATGGTTGAGAAGATCCTGCAAGTGTCGGACGAGCTACTGAGGCTTGCGGACAGATGATGTTACACATCTGGGGGTAGGGTTTAGGGTGTTCAGGGTTTAAGGTCTCTAAAGGCCCTCAAATCCCTGCAGCCCTCGAATTGAGGTTGCTCGGTGCGGAGACAGAAATGCAGGGCGCGCAATTGCAAGCCTAAACCGGGTTTTAGGGTCTCGGTATCTGGCTCAGGGTTCAGGGTTTAGGGTTTATGGTTATAGGGGTCGGAATCTATTTCTAAGTCTTCAGACCCCTATATTCAACGGTTTAGGGCTTAGGTAACTTGTATTTTTTTTTGTCGGTGGGGGGTCTGTAGGCTTTTTGGGAACACATATTACTCCTCGGTTACGGATACTGGGGGACCGAGCGAACCCACAGATGAGCCTGAAGACATTTGTATTCATCACTCCTTGATAGGGCTGATAGGGTTGATGGTTTGAGGCCGTGGGGTTTACAGGGAGCAAAGTTTTGAGTGTTCTTAGCAGAAGTCTACCTGGTGTGAGATTTAAGCTAGCTCGATACCCAAGCGCCTCAAGCGTTGGGGCACTTCAAGCCCACAAATCCCCAAACACCCGTAGTCCAAAAGCCCCGAACCCGCCAGCTCAAGCACCTTGCGGAGTAGCAAGATAGAAGGGTCAGGGTTTAGGGTTTCGGGTCTAGGGTCCAGGGTCTAGGGTTTAGGGTTTAGGGCTAGGGTTTAGGGTTTAGGGTTTAGGGTTTAGGGTTTAGGGTTTAGGGTTTAGGGTTTAGGGTCTAGGGCGCCGGTCTGTGCACCCTAACACTTCGACCACAGCAACTCACCGTGGACCGACATCGGCAGGTCGAAGTGACTTGCAGGATTGGCAGTCCAAAGACATCGAGGACCTACCCAGCCAGATTTGGGTTTCGGGTTTAGGTTGGTTTAGGGTTTAGGGTTTAGGGTTTAGGGTTTAGGGTTTAGGGTTTAGGGTTTCGGGTTTAGGGTTTAGGGTTTTGTGTTTGGGGTTCAAGGTTTACAAGTCACAGGGTCACCCAAAGGGGATGTACTGCAGTGTACACCCTACGAGCCCGAAGCCTCTAAACCCTAAATTACCCGGGTTTTGTTGGGGGGGCCCTAAACCCTACACCCCAAGCCCTAGACCCTACAATCATTTGTCTTGGAAGTGTTTGGCCAGAAGGGCTTGGTGTGTGATACTTCCGGGCTACTTAGTATGTTGCTTGGGATGTTCCCCCTTGCACTAACAGTCCGTATTGGGGATTATAGTACCCCCAAATAGATATGATCCCTATTAAGGACTGTTGGTATAAGGGGGAACATCCCAATATGTTGAGCTGTCTTGTCCGGTTCTTCGTTCGCAGCCCTTCGGAGCCAACGCAGCCAAGAATGTAGAATCTTCCACCCGCTGCAGACTTCATTCCTCCCTGCAGCAACTATCCACCAACCTCTGTCCTCTCCGTCTCCTGTTACCAAACGAGATGCGGCGAAATCAAACCCCTCCGGCGACAGAGAAGGACTAAGGAGAGAGAGAGAGAGAGACGCAACCCCTGAAACGTCAAAGCAGGCACGAACTTCTCAACCCCTAACACCACACCCTAAAGCCTCCCTAAGCCCAAAGCCCCACACCTGCATAGACCCTAGCCGGTAACCCTGAAGTTTAGGCGTTAGGGTTTATAGGGTTTAGGGGGCTGTATGAGTGGTCTGGGTTTGGGCTTCGGGTTTGAGATTGTTGAGAGCAATGAACCCGAATAGAAACATTGTCGGGTTTAGGGTTTGCAATCTGATCCTCGGTTACGCGGCAGCTGGCTTATAGTGTAGCGACCGAAGCTCTGAGTCCCAGCCAGAGCCACGTACCGAATAACCCGCAAGCCTAAGCCCTCAGCCCTAAACTCTAAGCCCTGGGCCCTAATCCCAACCCTAAACCAACGACGCCCCCCAGCCAAATCCCAAGCAAGTCTTTACAAGGCCTGCGCCTGAACACATACAGTTTGCCCTATAAACCCCACAGCCTATCATCCAAAGCCCTTCCCTAAACCCTCAAAGCCATCTCCCTAACACCTCCCCGAATGACAACCTCAGCCTGATTTAAGCCCTTGGACTTAGACGTTGATCAAACTATACAACTACCAAGACCTTATACGCGACGATACTATACAAAGCCCTGGACCGCATAAAGCCATTGTAAGCCATGTTAAGCCATATAATAAAGCCCAAGCAGACCTTCACTAGCAATGCTCAACTATATTTCAACCCCAGTTTGACAGTACCGCTGAATTACTTGCAACCCCCCCCCCGAACCCGAGCTTGAAGCTCTGTCGCGATGCGCGCTGCTCTGCTGCTTCTGACGCTAGCGTCTGCGACGCGATGGCCATCGGTGAGCGCCCCCTGCCTCGAGAGAAGGGGGCTGTTGCGCCCTAAGCCCTAAACCCTAAACCCTAAACCCTAAACCCTAAACCCTAAACCCTAATCTTAATTCCTACTTCCTTAGGGGCCCGGATGCTCGTGTGTTGAGATGTGCACTTGCAAGCATGGGCGGCCGAGGTTCAGATGGTGACCTACAAACGACCAAAGCTCCTACTGGAGGCAGCGGGCCAAAGCCCTCGGCCCTAAGCCCCCCCTAAACCCTAAACCCTAAACCCTATAACCCTAGAACCCTATAACCCTAAACCCTAAACCCTAAACCCTTAACCCTAAACCCCAACCGTCCATGACTGATTCTTACCGCCTTAGGGGTCCAAGCGGGCCAGCAAATGGGTAATGCACAGGTTCGGAACTCGGTAGGCTACGAAAGGGTTTTGGTCTTTAGGTCTCAAGGGTTTAGGGTTTAGGGTTCAGGGTTCAGGGTTTAGGCCTTTTCTAAGGCGTATCGAGGTTGTGGGGTTGATAAGGTTTCTGGGGCTTGTGGTGTTTACAGGGCTGATAATGGCTTCTAACAGCTCATTGCCATCTTCTGATCCATGCTGAGAGGGGTCTCTGTCGTATCTGGTTAACCCTAAACCCTAAGCCCTGAACATGACACACACACACACACACATGCGCGTGTTTTAAGAATTGGGTGGCAGGGAGTGAGGTCTGCGGGTTGAAGGCCATGTACCGGACCTTGGTGTGTCGAGCCTAGGGGTTATTTGTGCTGCATCCATAAGAAGACCGTTTAGGGGTTAGGGTTGCGGGTTGAGGGTTTATGGGTTGAGAGCCCCGCACCCTGCGCGATGGCATGTGTTCAGCAAAGCGACCTGTTGCATATCGGAGCACCTCAACCCGCTCCAAACCCTGGAATCCCCAGTCCCTAACACCCTAAACACGCTGCAGTCCTAAACCCTTAAACCCTACAAAGCCCCCCCCCCCCCCAAAAAAAAAAAAAAAAAAAAAAAAACCAAAAGGCCTAAAGCTCCAAGCCCTAAGGCCCTCTAAGGTTCAAGGTCTTTAGAGCCCACCCAACACCACTGAGCTCGGTAGGCCCTTGTGACAAATTATTAGACTTAAGATGATCATCTCATGTTCAACAGGGTGTTAGGGGGCCATCCTAGTAAACCCTAAACACTCTAAACCCTGCACCTTACACCCGAAAGGCCCTGTGCCAAATCGCCCTCAACCATGGACCCTGAACCCTGAACCCTAAACCCTAAACCCTCAACCCAAGAGAGGCCTTGGGCCAAGTCGCCCTCCAGAGCTACGAGGGAGACATCGAGGTGGTGGTCGTCGACTCCCTGCCGGCAGCGGTTTTGGGGTTTCGGGTTCAGGGTTCAGGGTTCAGGGTTTAGGGTTCAGGGTTTAGGGTTTAGGTTTAGGGTTTGGGGGGCTTTAGGGCTTCGGGGGGGGGGGGGGGGGGGGGAGGGTTTAGGGTTTTAGGGTTTTGGGGTTTTAGGGCTTCAGTTTTTCTTTTAGCTTTAGGGCTCGTATGGTTCTTGAGGTGTTGAGAGTGGCCGGTGCCGAAAGTCCAAGGTCTCGGTGGAGAAGTCAGGGGTTCAGGGGTTCAGGGGTTTAGGGGTTTTGGGGTTTTGGGGTTTTGGGGTTTTGGGGTTTTGGGGTTTTGGGGTTTTGGGGTTTTGGGGTTTTGGGGTTTCGGGGTTTCGGGGTTTCGGGGTTTCGGGGTTTTCGATTCAGGGTTTACAGCTCTTCACACCGACCTCCTCCACCTTCGCCTTCTGCTGGGCCGCCTAAGACCCAAAGCCCAAGTCCCAAGCCCAAAGCCTGTACTCCGAAGCCCTCAGCCCAAACTCTTAAAGCCGGCTAAGGGTTTAGGGTTTAGGGTTTAGAGTTTAGGGTTTAGGGTTTCGCCAAAGCCCGCAACCCAACTCGTCTTCCTAAACTCCTAAGTTTGGGGTTTTGGGGTTGAAGTAGTCCCTAAACGACTCTGCCACGTACTCTTATGGTGATGGACTGGCCAACCCTGGCTAACTAAGCCCTAAACCCATTTGGGGCTTAGGGATTTTGGGGTTTCGTTTGGGTTTTGGGTTTAGGGTAAACCAGTGTTTAGGGCAAACCCTGAACCCTGAACCTCTTTGAGGTTTGGGGCTTAGCGTTTTAGGGTTCAGAGGGGGTCGGGATTTCCTCAAACCCAAACTCCGCCAAGCCCCCCATTCCCCGCATGGACCCAACCCCGAACTCCAAACCTGTTTACCTTGAAACCCTAAACCCTGAACCCTAACCCCTAAACCCTAAACCCCAAACCCTAAACCCTAAACCCTAAACCCTAAACCCTAAACCTTAAACCCTAAACCCTAAACCCTAAACCCTAAACCCCAAACTTAACAACCTTTCGCCCTCAATTCCACACCCATGTAGCCACGGAGAAACCCTAAACCCTAAAGCCCTAAACCCTATGCAAGGACGACAGTCCGGAGAGTATGGAGGCGGAGATAGTGTCTCTGTGCCTTGGCATCAACCTTGTCCATCCAGATGTTGTGGAGGTCGGGGTTTGCTTACAACGCCCCCCCCCCCCCCCCA